TATTAGTTTAGATTTAAGTATGGTATGATGAGGTTGACATCTTCTAAAGAATAAAAACGCCTTAGAATAAAATAATTTAAAAAACTAGATAAATGTTCTATTTATGTGGTTACTATTTATTACGTGTCGTGTAAAATCTGCCGAAGTTTCTTAAGAGAAAAAATGTAAAAAATATGAGCAAAAATGTAAAAAATAGTAAAATACAACAATTTTCTTATCATACACAAGCCATTCTGTCAGCTCTCAAACATAACATCAATGAATATAAAACAAAGGGAGCATTCGGATTATCTTTTTATATGCCTTCAAATTGATCAGAGAATGCATTTCATTAGGAAAATAACAAGTTAGAGAACTAAGGCGGCCTGCCGGGCCAACTACTTAGGAATAAAAATGTTATGCAAACGGAGAAATTTCAGTGGGTCTTATATTTTAATTAAAAATGGCTTTGTCCAAGTACTGCCGTAAATATAATCAGAAAGTCTACTTTTTTTACGTAAGCCTAACAAGTGATCAGAAACATGATTTCTGTGGCTCGCTTTCTTTGGTTGGTTATTGTGTTATTGACTGATGACATGAGCCTCGTTATAGGCGTGTAAATGAGTCATTAGTGTTCTACTTTTACAGTCGAATTTACGTTTTTTTTTTCATTGAATTGTATAGTAACGCATAAGAAAATGTATTTATGAGAAAAATTGATCATATTTTACTCTGAAAATCGAGTTCTTCGAACTAAAAGCAATAATTTATTTTTTACTTGGATGGATGTTACAATCTTAGTACACTTTACAATTGACTATCAATTAAAAATCTAATTCATAAATTGAACATTTAAATATTATAATAATTGTTATCTGTGGTCAAGACATAATGTGTAAGTAGTCTATGGAGGACTCCATCTTGTTGTTGATTATAGAGCCAATGGATATGTATTGTGTGGTTTGTTCTTGAATCTATAATAAACTTTGATTACCAAGTGCTTGTTTTATTTAAAAAACGTATAACAATATAAACATTATCATGCAAGCCTGATGTCGCATGCTTCAAAAAATATCTCTTACTATGCAATAACATTAAACAAAACAATAACGCGATGCAATCTGACATAATGTCAGCTAGCCAAATATGAAATTGAACACTGAGTTTTGTCATACATAATAAAAAAGTTAAAATAAAATAACTATGTTACTATACTGAACTTTTAATGTATTTGATTAATTTTTTTGTATGTACACATTATATTAACGATACGGTGTTGAACCTGTGCTTTTTGATTATATCATAGAGCAAAGAAAATGTAAGTAGCTTAGTAATTTGACGGTAGACCTCGACCGCTTCCAGTACTAGCGGTAAAAGAAAATTGTCAAAAGAGCATTGAAAACTTATCGTGTCGTGACTTTGTCGTGTTCTTTATTTAGGTCACCAAAACTGCTAAAATGACCTCATTACTATTCAAATAATTCTACGTGCCTTTATTTATCAGATATACTTAATGGTTAATTCACGAATTAATCTAAGCAGTAAACAAATATAAATAATGTCAACTGTGTATTTGCCTAGTTAAAAGAAAATTCATGAAAATATTAAATAAAAAAATTATTAATAATATAAATACGCAGTTGTTCGGTTTCAAAATGCGTTACAAACAAAGTATTGAATATGGTAACACAACTTTATTCATCCGCCTACCTACCTTTCCCTATCTTGGACAAATATAAAATAAGCGAGGGTAGACAGACAGTCACTGAGAGCTGCCTGTTGCATCTCCGCCGCTATAGCGAATGATCGATCCCGCAAGGTCTCATTCCAACCAAATCTTAAAGCGCGAAAGTGTATACACCAAATACTTAGAAAATCAACGCTGTGTGAAGGGGCAGTAGGACAACAGCAAAATTATCCCAGAATAACGTGGGAGACTTACGACCAGCGGCTTAATACCCTGGGCTATCGAAGAAACTAAAAGTAAGTCCAAACTCCTTTCTGTTCCACACAACAGTAACAAAAAAATATTTACGAAAATTATCAATGAACTTTGTTAGTTTTTATTCATATAATAGTTTTAATATTTCGTGTTCATACGTCAGTGAAACAGAGTAAGTTCTGATTCAGGTTCGGATCTAAAATATAAAATCATATTTTCTATGAACAGAATCTGAACAGAGCTGAATAAATGTGATTAGTCCCAAAGACTGTAAATAAAACATAAATATCAATAAAACAAGCCCAATTATTACAAAGAAGCAAGAAAAGGAGGCAGCGTAATTGCTATACAGCTTTTTTTTTTCCATGGCATTGCATCGTGTAAAATAAAGAGAAGAGTGCAAGGCGATAGTATACAAAAAATATTTACTCGTACTAATATTTTAAAACTGGCTAAGTGCGAATCAGACTCGCGTACCGAGGGTTAAGTACCCGAAACAAGCAAAAAGTCAGGTTTGCTATATGGGAGCCTTTATATATTTATTTTAATCAGGTTTTAGAATTCCATACCCAAAGGCCAATACGGGAATCCTATTAACACAAGCAATGATTGTAGTATAGAGCATCTGAAATAACGAAGGTGGCACAACACCCAGACCAGAGTCAATGTTAAAAACGAACCTGGGACCTCAGAGATGGCAACATGCTGGCCACCAGCTATGATAGTATTCTTAAGACGTGTTTCTAAATGACGAGGCTGCATCTCGAGTCATGCCTCGCAATATTGATAGGAGTAGTTCATAAAAAACAAACTAAATATTTTATAGAATTTCATAAAATAACTGTCATATGATTAATGAGTCCTTATCGGAGCGACGGCAATATAGCCATATAATTATTTTGTGCTTACGAAACTAGTCATTGTGGCGATAAAGCAACATGATTTTTCATACCGAAGCGTAATTACGGGCTATAAAGGTTTTGGTACCAAATTTGGTGAACGTTTAGTATATTTGTGACTTTAGTATTTACGTTAAGTGTTTTGAACAAGATTATAAACGTTTTATGATTGCGACTTATACTTTCTTCTACCAACTATTAGAAGAAAGTATATATATAAAATTAACAACAGAATGAATTATAAGTGAGTTTAAATCGTCCAGCCTTTTTACCTGCCACTCCTTTAGGAGGTCTTCTGGCTGATAAGAAAAACGAAATAAAGTAAGTGTATGATACGACAGTTGTTTCGTTCCCATTTTCGCATATTTGTTTGAAAAAGAAATTAAAATTGATTTTATTCAAGTCTAAAGTCGTCTGATAGATACCTGGGGTACGACCACCTAACTCTCTAGCTATGTGATGCGTTCGATGCTTGGGCAAATGAATGAAAGGCTGACTAAGCTTGAAAACTTGATTTTTTTAGAAGGTAATAAAAGAAAACTATATAATAACAGTTATTAATTAGAACAAATACATACCTAAATAAATAATTACAGTTATTAAATAGAACACATACATACCCCGTTTCTGGGTTTTTCTGTAATAGATAAAACTTGGGCGATATTTCACAAAGATATACTTTTAAATTAACATTTTTATTATTTAAATTATAGTTATTTAATTATTATTACATTTTAATATTTAAATTTACATGATTACATTATCATGTTCACACTAGATAATTTTTTGCGAAGTGATATTCATAAAGAGCATATTGGATTAGTCAAAATTTCAAATTACGAAAGGTGAATTATAAAAAGAAATAATGTTGAATATCAAAGACAAAAAGTTTGCATGCTGAAACCTAGGACGAAATAAACGGTGGTACGGCACACCGTTTCAGCTATAGCTCCAGTTATATGATACGACATCTTAGCGAATATAATAACGATATTTCGTTTAATTTTACTACTTTGACATGACTTTTCGTAGATAAATGACACTACTGTCAAATCCATTATCACATTCTTTATCGTTCGTTCTTCGTTATTAAAGTACATGTCAAAGTAGTAAAATTAAACGAAATAGCGCTATAACATATAAAAATTATGATATCTAGTAACTCCTCCTCCTCCTGAGGATGCTCGGTGCATGGGCGAAACATGTATAGAGTGGTGATTTTGTGAGACTTGTTGCCATTTGTATATGTGAATTTGTGTGCGGGCAGTACACGTCAGATATTGCGGATACTGACTGGGCGTGGCGGTTGCTAGATATTGCTAGTTTCACAGTTAATGCAACGGACTTCCGCAGAATAACGCCTGATTCTATTAAATCGCTAAGATGTCGTATCCTACGGCTAGAGTTATCTATAGCGAGAGGGGTCGCTCTGCTGATGTGTTAGTGTTGTTTTACCGATTCTTCATATAAATAGCGTCAGATAGTAAACTTACCAATAAGTTAAATATCAACCTATATACTAATAAATAAAATTTACTTTGTGACTATTTGATGTTGAAGTGCCACTTACAAAATACAAAATATCACAGATTACATTGCCACAAAGTGGTCGACAAAGATTATAAAACAAATGTGCCACAGTGTTTTCAAAGTGTATTTTGTCAACATAACTTTCTTTTATGACATCACCGCCGATATCGGGCATTCTTTCCATTCTGATTATTTCCACAGTGATTAGATTCGTTAGCAACTTCTACAGATCACTAATAACATTGACGGAATATGCTAGGTACCTCAGATTAGTTACTCAGATTAGAATCGGGGACAATTTTTTTTATGTGTGAAACTACCCATAAATGGCGTCAAAAACCAAATAATCACGACACATAATAAGTATATATTAAAGGCAAAGTAAAAATCTAGGACCGTTATGCCCGGGCAATAACAATAAATTTAGATTAGAACTTCCTTATTTGTCACATTGCCCGGGCATTATGAATAAAGCCATGTGGTGTTGGGTTAATTTGATAAAAATACAATATAACATAGGTATTATATGGGAGAGCGAAGAGAAGTGCTTATTTGTAATGTCCGATTGATAACTTTGCAATTTTTATATATCGAAGTAATTTAACTTTTGTTCACGCGAGTGTAGATATTCATAATAAATATTCTCTCACCGTTTTTGTGTCCATAATATCCTGTTCCTGATGAGGAGCCACTGCCGGTGGAGGAGCCCTGCGGAGGCCGGCCCTCCTCGTCCTCCAGAGGTAAAGGGGTCGACTCCATATTCACTCACTTTGACATCACTCACTAACACTTACTGCACTTTGTACCTGAAAAGAGAAGTGTGTGTAAGAAACAATAATACATACATAAATGTTTGTTGGGATATAATAAACGTATTCGTCACATTGTAGCTTAATTTTTCTGTTTCAACTTAAATTGAATAACCCTAATTTTAAATATACTTTAGAGCAGTGATTCCCTAAGTGGTCCAGGTGGACCCCCAGGAGTCCTCGAGGGATTTAACGGGGGTCTACGTTGGCGTGAAATAAAAATAGGGCGCCAATTTCTATCGCTAGATCTTCATATTTTGGACGAATTTTGGGAATATAGTAAAAATGTAGAAGCAGGGGGTCACTAATTTTATAATTTTCACTTAATATTCTTAATAAAAACGCTTAAAATCCGCCAGTTCCAGGAACCATGACATGGGTTTTGAACCCATGACCTTTCGCTTTCAAGCATTTTTTTCAAGAGACCGTTAGGTCTCTTGAAAAAAATGCTTGAAAAGTCAGTCAGTTCTGTTGGGTCTCAGGTAGCTCAGTCGTTAGACCAGTCACCCGGATAGTGAAAGGTCGTGGGTTCAAGAGCCACCCTGGGACTGGTTATTTAAAAAAAAAATTGAATACAACAATTGATTAAATATAATAATGTTCATTTCTTAAAAACATTTTAAAGATTAGAAATACGGGTTAATTCCATTTGTAATTATGTAGCGCCCGCACTATCCGGCGTATTAAATAAACTTATTGGTTTCTTAAAAATCATATATAATAATGCCCTATATCCATGCTATAGTGTAACGGTGTGCCATGCCACCGTTTGTTTTCCTAGGTTTCAGTATGCAAACTTTTTGTTTTTGAAATTTAACATCATTTCATTTTATTATCCGTCTTTCGTAATTTAAAATTTTGACTAATCAATTATACTCTTTATGGATGTCAGTTCGTAAGTAATTATTAACATATATACTAAATTGTAATCTGTATTTTGGACGATCCAAGAGTTTAACTAGAAGCCCGACAAGGGGTATGTATTCGTTTATTTGATAAGTATGTATTAGTTAAGTAACTTATGAACTGTTTTTTTAAATTTAATTTTTGTTTGTTACAGTTTCTTATTTACCTTTTACAATTAATAAATCTTTACTCAAGCTAATCAGCCTTATTAATTGACCCAAGCACCGAACCCGTCACAATCATACTCGTATCATTGCCAATTATTTAAGTCCGTTTATAAATTATTAATAGTATGTTATTTAACCAGTTGAAACCGGTTTCCAAGTCTTTAGAGGGAGCAAGGAGATTTATTAACAACAGTTTATCATCATTATTATCATGAGCCCTTTTACATACATCCCCACTGCACGAGCTACCAACAATCTATCAACAATATGTCTTCCGAAGTTTAGATATATTAAAATTATAAAAACACTAATATCATTATCATGAATAACATTCGCGGGTATCCATGCCACATGCGCATGCCACACCGCGTTGTCGATACGATTTCAAACGAGTGACTCAAAAATAGAATCCCAAGACCGGGAAAAGAGATATTTCATCTTAACTTTTTAATGTCGCAAACAACAAAAATTTACCTACCTGAATGTAAACTTTATTAATAGAAGAAATATAAGTATTAATAATTTTACATTTTCAATACATTCAAGGAAAATAACATCTGTATTATATTAGTTACACGCGTAATTGAATTTTTAAAAGACCATAAAGGACGAATGTTGCTATTCAAAATATAGTAATCCTGCCATTATGTTTGTCTTTGAAGACTGTTACGTTCGTGTTTTTTATTACTCATATTATGGTTATTGCAAACATATATAAAAAACACAACATCAAAGATATAAGAAAATAAAACATATTTTACGACGTAATCTCACCTTATTGATTCATTTGGTGTGGTGTTGGGAATAATAAATATTAATGGCAACATCATATTTCTTTTTCATAATTCCCAACCAAAGCCATGCTATGAATGGTGTCGCTCTCATATATTACTAACATTGACCTTGATTTTACTAATATTAATAATAAACACTCTATTACACTCAAAATAGGTTTGCAATAAATAACATAACATATTGAGAAGAGAAGGAGTAAATAAAAGGCGGACTTCATTCTCAACCATGCAAAAAATGGTGAAAGCAGAAAATTTTACGATAGGTACTGTGGAAATAAATGGCGCATACATATTAAATAAAGAAGAGTATTTTAAGATAAACAGAGGAAATATCTTTTCACCTCATCGCTAAAGGAGTTGAGTGAGTGAGCTTTACTGATACTATCTGGGAGAGAATTCCAAAGTTGTACAGCATGAAGAGAGAAGAAATAGGAAACTAAGTCTGTACTATAATAAGAGGAAAGATTAGGTTGGTAGTTAATATCGAATAGGCTCAGAAATAACACGATCGATTTTAAAACATATTTCATGCCGAAACATTCATGCCGAGATCTCCCACGTGGAGAGCCACGCTTCGGCATAAATGGGCCGGCTCGACCGGAGTGATACCACGGTCTCACAGAAAGCCGACGTGAAGCAACGCTTGCGTTGTGTTTCGTCGTGTGAGTGAGGGTACCGGAGGCCCAACCCCTCCCTATTCCCTTCCCTCTACCCCTCAACCCTTCCCTCCCTATGATCATATTTGTCCCTCAAAGGCCGGCAGCGCGCTTGTAGCCCCTCTGGTGTTGCAGGTGTCCATGGGCGACGGTAATCACTTACCAACAGGTGATCCGTTTGCTCGTCTGCCCCCTATCCCAAAAAAAAAACATATTTTCGGGATTACGGTTTCCGTATCTCAGGATTTGTCCTGGGATCTCGGGATTTTTGGACTCTTCTCAGGATTGTGATCGGATTTCGCAAATCTCATTAAATCTCAGGACTTTAATAATGTTTAATAAAATATGGTAAATTACTCCATCAGGTGATTTCCCAACAAATTTATATTTTAAAAGCTGTTGCTGATGTTTTGGGAGTTTGAAAAAAGGTATAAATTTGTATTCAAGAAAGCTCATACTTTCCCTATGCAGCGATTATGATAATCATTATGCTTTGTATATTATGTTTATGTATATGTCTATGTTTATATGTATGTACGAATATAATATGGATCAATTTTCTTGTAGTTTAGTTAAGCTTTATGTCGTCCTTAATATGTTTTTCTCTTTTATTGACTTTGACTAGTAGAGAATGCAATTAGCATAAACTCCGCCTGTACTATATATTCGCTGTTCAATAAAGTTTCATAAATAAATATATATATCGATTATTCAAAATTATACGAACATGTATTTTGTCGATTTCCGGAGACACAAATATAAATAATAATAGAAAGATCATCATTGCATCGCATTTTGAAGCTTATATTGCAAAAAATATGACTTGTTTTTGAATATAGCAAGATGTTTCGAAAGCCCTATTAAAATGAAGCCATATTTTGTCAGTGCGGTTTCGTCAATCGGTTAACCCCTCACCTGCCCGAGTATCCCAAACCGCAGACCTAATTGGCCAGGCTTGTACACAATATCTATTAACTTGTATAATTGTGTATTGGGCTTTGACAAATAAATGTTCTCTTTTTCTTTGTATGTGTATGTGATGCTGATGTGTACATGATTCAGACTAAAAGGCCTTTTGATGAATCACGTTAATTTCCTGAGCGTGTCCCTTCGTTTTACGGTTGTTGTCAATTGGAAAACAAATATGGCGGATTGTGGAGATGCGATCAAAAGGACCAGTGGTGAGTTAATTATTATTTTAACTTAAAAATTAAATGTTTATTATTAATCACTAACTATTGTATATTTAGTTCTATTAATTTGAGTAAAGTCAAATATAAAAGTTCTTACGATTCGAAGATCGCCTCTAGTTCTTTGAAAAAAAAATACGTTTATTTTTGAAACACTAATATGACTCCAAAAGGCATTTTTCAACATATTAGGTCCTTACATATTAAATTGTCGTACTGGTCACTTTAATCACAAATTCCTCCTTCTTGGTTGGGAATTCCAAATTCAAATTTATACAGCCATTTAAGCATGTAATTGTGTTTCGTTAGGCGGCATTCATTTGTTTTTTTTTTCTTCTGTTTATCCTATTTACGTCACTCAGTATAAAAATGGAAAACTTGAAATCCAATGCTGCGGAAGGGTTAATAATGTCTATGGCGGTTGTGTCGTAAAAGAAAACACTGTGCGTTTTTGGTTCCAACGTTTTCGTTTTGTCCTCGTGGACGGCCGGAGACCCAAGTTAATAATGAAGAATTGAAGGCTATTGTGGAAGCGGATTCATCGCAAACCACGTCCGAGTTAGCTACAGGCTGCGGTGTTAGTGATAAAACTGTTTTAATCCACTTGAAGGCAAATTGGAAAGATTAAAAAGCTTTAAAGGTAGGTGCTTCACGAATTTAGTGGAGCAAACCGGCAAACGCGCTTCGACTGCTGCGTTACATTAATTAACCGGCACAATAATGATGGGTTTTAAAATCGAATCATTACCTGTGATGAAAAGTGTATTCTCTACGATAATCGGAAGCGCTCATCGCGATGGTTGGACCCTGGAATGCCAGCCAAATCCTGCCCCAAGCGAAAATTGACCCGCAAAAATTTTACTTGCAAGCATTTGGTGGACTAATGCCGGTGTCTTTCATTACAGTTTTCTCAAATCTGACCAGACGATTACGTTAGACGTCTATTGTCAGCAATTGCAAAAAATGCTGGTAAAACTAGCTGTTAAACAACCGAGGCTTGTTAATCGCTCTACGCCTTGCTCCAACAGATTACTATTTTTTCAAAATTTAGATAACTCCTTGCAAGGAAAACAATTCAACTCCGATGGGGCAGTGCAAATCACCTTTAAAAATTTTATTAATTCCCGTCCGTTTATTTTAGTAAGGGAATAAATGAACTACCTATGAGAGGGAAAAGTGCATAGATAACAATGGTTTATACTTTGATTAAATAAATATATTACATTTAAAAATATTC